GAGAGAATACACAAAGGGATGTGCTCCCCACCAGGAGCACTGTGCTCAGCTCTGGGCCCCCAGCACAGGAAGGACATGGACCTGCTCAAGCAGGTCCGGAGGAGGCCACAAAGATGCTCAGAGGGCTGGAGCAACTTCCCTGTAAGAACAGGCTGGGAGAGCTGGGGTGGTTCAACCTGGAGAAAAGAAGGATTCAGGGGGACCTTAGAACCTTTCCAGTGCCTAAAGGGGCTCCAAGAGAGCTGGGGAGGGACTTTGGACAAGGGCCTGGAGGGACAGGACAAGGGGGAATGGCTTCCCACTGCCAGAGGGCAGGGTTAGATGGGATAGTGGGAAGGAATTCTTTCCTGTGAGGGTGGGGCAACCTGGCACAGGTTGCCCAGAGAAGCTGTGGCTGCCCCATCCCTGGAAGTGTCCAAGGCCAGGTTGGATGGGGCTTGGAGTAACCTGCCCATGACAGGAGTGGAATGGAATAGGATTTAAGGTCCCTTCCCACCCAGCCCATTCCCTGGTTCTGTGACACTTAGGAAGACCAATCTTTTGACACGTTTGCAGAGGCCACGTGACACAGGATGCTCCGATCCCCGGCTCCCCTCTCTACACCATCAAAGCCTTCATCCCAGCCATTGACTCCTTCGGGTTTGAGACCGACTTGAGGACCCACACGCAGGGACAAGCCTTCTCCCTGTCTGTCTTCCACCACTGGCAGGTGAGTCCATGTCCTGGGGAAACAGGGAAGAGGGGCAGGTAGGATCAGGTACCAGGTAGGTGCTGTCAGTGCCAGAGCTCACACAGGGCAGGACAACATCTCTGGAGAGTTTCCTCAGAGGATTTTGGGGAGGCTTTGTGCACCAGCTGTTCCATGTCTGCCAGGGCTTTGTTCCAAGTCCCATCACACCTTGTCCTAACGAGGGAGCACCGAATGCTGCTGCTGGCTGAGTGTCAGGGTCCTGGAGTGCCCAGGGAGAGGAATCCTCCTGAGGAGAAGGGAATGTTTGGATGCAGTCTGCAGCCTGGGGAGCAGGAGCCTTGGAGCAGGGGTCAGATTCACTGATCTGCTGTAAGACATGAGGTGCCACATTTGAGCTTTGCCTCTCACAGAAGGTGTTTTAGATCTGTAGAAAACAAAATTTGGGATGAAATACTGTTCTGTGGTCACTTCTGTGTCTGGGACAAGTCAGGTCCTGTGGGAGCCACTGCTGTGAGGTGCACAGTGACTTGGGTACAGCCAGGTGGGAGCAGCAGCTGCGGGCTGAGCCTAAAGGTCAAGATGTGAAAGCCTGAGGCTGAGCTCTGAAAGAACAAACACGCCTGGTTTGTGGAGAGAGTTGTGCTGACTGAGACCCACATGGACTGGGCTGGTTATTTTAGGGGTCTTATGCTACACCAGCCCCTGGGGAAGGTGGGACATGTCCTTGGCTTGGATTTTCAACACTGTATTAAGTGACTTCCCCCAGGCATGAACATCAGCAGTGACGTGAGTTTGTGTGTGCCAGGAGAACAGAAGGGATGTTGGGGATGTCTGCAGGGCCCAGGGGTGTTTCCTGTTGCAGTTTGGGGTCTCCAGGAGGTTGAACCAGCTGCACTAGCACTCTCATGTCCTGGCCCTGTGTTCCAGATTGTGCCTGGGGACCCCTTGGACAAGAGCATCGTGATCCGGCCGCTGGAGCCGCAGCCGGCCCCTCACCTGGCCCGGGAGTTCATGATCAAGACCCGGCGCAGGAAGGTACGTCTGGGAGCAGTCCCTGCAGTGTCCCTCTGGCCCAGCAGCTGAGCTGTTGCAGTGTTGTCCCTTGAGTGTGCCACGTCCCCTCTGTGTTCCCAGAGTGCTCCAATGTCTTCCCAGGGCTTCCCCAGTGCTGCCTCTCGGTGCCTGTGGGAGTCCCATCTGTGACTCCAGCCCAAACCAGGATCCTACGGCCTCCACTGAG